GATGCTCTCATTGCCATCCATTTAATTGGCAGTTTCACAGATTCAGCATCACTTTTGTCTTTAAATTGATTGAAATAGGTTTTTGTGTATACTTCTTCGGATAGACCAAAATCGGCAACTTTAATTACTCCATTATTATCAATCCTAGGAATCATATGTATAATTTTCATTATCAGTAATTAACTTACATGCAGTTTCTAGCAGCAAGATCACGATGCACAAAATATTTTGAGGCCAAGTAACACATTCCATTAGCAACTTGTAGACAAATTGAAAGCAAATGTTTCCTGACATTCAGAATAATTTCTTCATCGTTGCCATCAGTTATTGTTATGTTAAGTCTATCATTTTTCAAGTAAGATAATAAACTTCCTCTTGACATGAATGGCATAATAATGCATGGGGCTGGTCCCAAATCCAGACTCACACCAATAAGAGAAAGTACATTTGGATGATCAAAATTTGACATGATGAGACTTTCTTCAACAATGGAAGTAACATCACTTCTTGAGAACAATCCTATAATTAAACACATAACAATATTCTCAAAACAATAGTAACATACCCTTGAGTGTTTTGACAGCAACTACTTGTGGTATATCTTTATCAGTTGCTAAGAATGCTCTATAGACTATACCAAATTCACCTATTTTAATATAATAGATACAACTGCAATTGACTGACTGCCCTCAATAAATTACCTTGTCCAACTGCTTCTTGCAATTTAATTTGAGAAGCAGATATTGAATATTTAACTAACTGCTCTAAATTGCTTGATATGTTTTCTGAAAATGAAATTAAAACTGAATTCTAAATTAAAATTACAACGCTGACCTTGACACATATTAGAGTTAAGTATTGTTTCAAGATATTGATTTGTGGATTCCATTGTGTCATCAAAAATCCTGTCAGTAGACTCTGAGGGCTTCTTCTGAACTGTGTGCAGTAAAAGACTTTTAATGCCAAAGGAAACTTTTTTGCAGATACAATAAAAGTCTTTTGTACAAAGACAATGCACTATAAAAAGAAAAAGACCATGACATCCAGTCAATAGTACAAATAGAGAAGCAACTAGATCTCGAATAGCTTTATTAGTGAAAGTGTCCTCTGTCATTAGTAACATTAGCACTGAAGATAGACAAAACAACGTAGAGTGAGCCAATGATTTAGTCAACTGATACTTATATGAAGGTTTTAAAACTGTCTTTTTATTGCTATCTTTGATTTTTGATGACATTAAGAGTGAGATTACGATGATAATAAACACAATCCAAATGAATGAGTAAGTGATGATGAATGGTATTACTATACCAATGTAGAACGGTGTATCAAAAGCACGACAGCTAAAAATAAAAAATAAATTTATTGATCTCATTCAATATGTACATAAAATACAATCCTGCCATGCATGGTAGGTACAATGTGTAATAAAATTATACAAATGGATGTTTTATGATGATTTTTTCTATGATGGTTTATGTATGTCAATATTAATCTCTTTAGATAATAAGATAAAATGATCATGCATAATTATACTTGATTATACCATAGAAATAACTTGGTATGTCATTAAAAATTAAATTTTCACTGACATAACAAATTAGAGGGTTTCTCACCGCAATAAATACTTTTTAAATTCTGCAGCCATTGAAGTTAACTTCCTAATGCATGTTCTTTCAGCAAGCATTAAGGATAGTTAAAACAGCCACTGCACAAGACTGAATTATATAGCTAGATAGGCATTTATTAGTTTTTTAGGGCTCAGTCAAGCTTCAATATGTCACTAATTTAGGTTGTTGGAATAACATAAAATAGTCAATTGTGATCAGAATCATTCAAATGATCTACACAATAAAGTAATAAAAATAAAATATGCCTAAGCCATTTTATGCACCATAGCCCACCAAAGTCTCAAGCAACAAAATTTATCATAAAGCCCATCAAAATTTTTCTACATAACAAAACTTAAGACATACAAATACTTTTTCTAGCTTTAATAACTGCACTGTGAATGGCATATAATTTATCTTACAAATTTGAGGAGTATTTTATGTAATTTGTGTAGCTCGGTGAGAAGCAGAATATGACAATGAAAATTGGAGCAACTAAAAATAATAAAGAATAATAAGTATCATAGTTAGCTATAAGCAAACTTACTCCATGATACCAATGTAACTTTTATATAAAACATTTTCATGTATGAATTCATTACAATGTTAATGTAAAGGCCTATTACTTCAGCAGACATCAAACTTAAGCAGACAAGAAAGAAAAATTGAAGCATAAAACCAGATACTGCACAAAAACTATTGATATTCCTTGCATGAATTGATGTAACGAATGAGAGATACAGACCAATAAGTGCAAAACAATGATTAAGAAGCATTTGAGAGTGATTTGATAACCTTAAATCCCTATAAAACACAACAATCATCTCTTCATATCAAATCTCATTGCTGGCTAATCATTGTCACATCTTTTTAGCTTTCATTACTTGTTATAAAGATAGAGTACAATAGTGATGATAAGACAAATGATAGAGATGATTATACCAATGTAAGAGACTGAATCAAGATAATAGACTCTAAATTCTGTTGAAGGTTCAGTTGGAGACACATCCTATATACAAAAATAAATGCTATTAAATAAAACTTTTAAAGTACCATAAAATAGGTATACAATACCATCAATCGCATAATTATAAAAACTAGTACACATCATTTTTAGTGTCATACATGTAGCCAGATCCCAACATTTTGTGCCTACAAGGTTAGGATTTGGCTATGTGAGATTAAATTCCTTATGCACTATACTGCTAGAATCAACTACTTGATTATAAATCCACTTTTTGAGTTATATCCAATCATATTATTTAAATTTTATTTTAGAGCCAATTTTATTCTTTTGATTTATAGGACGTCCAATAAATCAACTGGCTCTGAATTATTAATTCCGATAAAGGTTACAACACCCATATATTAAACTGACATGCACATAGATTAATCAATGCATTCTTGTAGAAAATGCTATGCAATTTGTTGAACTAAGAAATAGCCTTTCCTTTTTCTAAAATATTACTACTTCTTCATGCCTTGAAATATTTCAGTTAGAAAATCAGTTCTAGTCTTCAGAAAACATAATAAAACTTGGGGTTGATTTCGAAGCCTAATTTGTTGCTAAAAGGTTTGAGTTGTAATGAAATTTTACAAGCTTTGTAATTAAACTGTTATTACTGCTACACATAACGATTTTTATCCTACTATTGCTACATAGTTAACATTAACAATTACAATTGATAAAATACCCTGCACTATTATTATAATTTTTGAGGTTGCTCAAACTTAAAAAAAATTTTTTTGAGGTTGCTCAAACTTTTTTTTATTTTTTATTTTATTAAAAAAAAGTTTTATTATTATTATTATTATTATTATTATTATTATAGAACTTTACAGTATACA